CAGAGAGCCCCTTGGAGAATTTTGCCAAGTGATTAAGAAGCAAAATTCTCATTTAGCAAAATGTATTCATCTCAAACCAGGTACTTTATATATTCTCTAAAAGAGTATTATTATCTTTCATTTGCAATGGAGAAAATAGGAACTCAAAAGGTGTATGTCACCCTCCTAAGCCCCACAGCCAATAAGTGACAGAGCCTGGCTTTGAATTTGAATCTGTACCAGGTCCTTCATTTGGCCTCTGCCTTCTACTGCCTCCTTCTCTGGAGGTATTTGATTTCTCTCTCCTTGTGGTGGTGAGCTGTACGGGTTGCATGTGCCCCCCTCCAAGTCTAGCGGACAGAGCTCATGTGGGATAGGACAGCCTAGTGGTTAAGATCAAGGGCTCTGAATCCAGGCTGCCCAAGTTCAGAAGGTGACTCCTCTCCTGTATCAGCAATCACTTCGCTTTTGGTGCCGTGGTTGATTAGCGATGTCTGCCCTGGGATCAGGACAGGGCACAGATGCCTGGATCTAATGAAGCCACACCTTGTCCCCCCTTCCTTCCAGATTCCGATCTTGCAAACAATGTCTGCTAAGGAACTGCGGCCATGGGGCGGGCCGAGGCTGGGGTCTGAGGCAGGAGCAGCCCCTGGAGCTTTGGTTTCCTTCAGGACAGGAGCCCTCCTTGGCTCTGGCCTATTTCCCCGAGGCAGCAGGGTGCCGAGGTGTCTGCATTCCTGGCAAACAGCGCAGCCACTGGTGGGTCCCTGGGCAGCGCTGGCCACCTGCCGGCTCCAGGTGGGGGGGTCAGGTGACGGGGCCTTCTCCTCACGCTGTCCCTGTGCAGCCGGGGTCCAGCCGGGGTCTTGGCCTGCTGCCCCTTGCCCGGGGCCTGCCCACATTTTGAATGCATTTCCGAGGTCCCTAGCGGCCCCTCTCCCCAGGGCTCTGAGGCCCTGGGTCCTCTCTGCGGCTTCTCCCGGCCAAGTTTCCATCTGAGACCCTGGGAAAATGGTGGGAGACCCCAGCCTGCTGTGTCCTGGGGCAGGACCTCCGCGACCCCAGGCTCCGTGGGTCAGAGCAGCGGGCTGGCCTGCGGCAGGGCTGGGGGTGGCACGGGGAGCATGGGGGGCGGCTTCGGATGGCTCAACCGTGACTAGAAGGGAGCAGGTAAGTGGCCTCTGTGAATGCATGACACCTTGTGGCCGTGGTGACAAAGTGACAGCGAGCTGGAACATGGATGGGTGGTGGTGTGAGGGGCTGGGATGGGAGTGGCTGTGGGTGGTGGTGGGGCAGTAGAGTGAGTGGCCCTATAAACGTCACCGACAGAGTGGGCAGGCGGGAACCCAGTGGGCGACGGTGCCAGTGAGGATACCCTGGGTGACAGGGCTGGTGGCGGGCAGGGGTGTCAGGCTGTGGGTAGAGGGGATGGCGGGGGTGACTCTGGGACCGGAGCTGGCCAGAGTCACTGGGAGGGCCCAGGGCTTGTCCCCAGGGGAGGACGCGTGGGTTTTCTCTGCCAGGGGACACTGATTGCCAGCGAAGGCCTCGCCCGCGGCCGGGGAGCCGGCTCCGCGTGTCAGCGATGATCTTTCGCAGATGCCGCAGCGCGAGGAAGTGTAATTATGGGAAATTGCGCTCAGGCGATGGAGGAGCGCCGAGGGCTGCCGGGCCCCATTCCTCACCTGAGCCCCCTGATTGTGGCCGACAGCCCCACATCTGTATGTGCTTTGCAGCCCGAGGAGGGACGAGCACGGGAGCAGCCTGGCTCCAGAGGAGGGAGGGAGGGGACCTTCAGCTCCCCCTGCCCACTGCGCCCGCGTCCCCGGGGAGGAGCTGGGGAGGCCGAGGCCTGGGGCACATTCCTGGGTTCTGGGGCGAGGGGGGAGGTGGGGCTGGCTTGGGGGAGTCGGGGAGAGCGGAGGCTGCTGTTGCTCCTGTCTTCTCGCTTTCCGGGCAGGGAAACTGAGGTGAGTTCAAGCCCAGCAGGAGTGCCCCCGCCCTGACCCGGCAGGGCTCGGCCAGCACCCACCGGGGCAGCAGGTTGGAGGGCAGCCCCCGTCCCACCCGGGGAGCAGCGGGGCTCCTGCCTCCCCACCCCGTGGGCCTCTGCTCCAGCTCCAGGGTGGCTCCGGGGTCCTGGGACTCCTCCCTCATTTCTCACTCTGGTCCCTGCCCTTGGCACCTCCCTGATAGGGGAGCAGGAAGCGCCCAGCAGACGACCTCCGGGGCCTCTGCTATGGAGGCCGGCTGACTCCTCCGTGGGCCTCCTCAGGCTTCTCCTTCCTGCTCCTGGGGTCACCCCAGAGTGTGGGGCAGCCCCTTCCTCTCCAAACCCTGCTGGGCTCAATTGAGAGTACCATGCTGCCCACTGCTCCCAGCAGAAGGACCCGGCCCTCCTCCCACTGGGCACGGTTTGCTCCATCCGTGTGGGAACAACTGCCCTGCCCAGGGTCTCGGAGGCGCACCAACAGACACGGGTTGGGCCAGTTGTCTAGTGGACAATTGTCCTCTTGGCTTCAACACTTGGGTCAGAGAAGCACGTGTGACACCCCTTCCCCCCTCAGGACCGGGCACTGTGGCTCAAGCCTATCATCCCAGCTCCTGGGGAGGCTGAGGCAGGAGGATCACAAGTTCAAGGCCAGCCTGGGCCTCTTAGTAGGACTCAGGCTAAAAATGAAAATGAAAGAGGGCTGGAAGAGTAGCTCATGGGGAGAGCCCTGCCAGCTCAGTCCCCAGCCCTGGAAAGAATTAGAAAGACCCCAGGAGCTGGAAGCTGGCTTTGTCCCCAGGCAGGACAGAGACTGGGAGGCTGTTGGCTTGGGAATCCCGCAAGGGAAGCCCACCTGCAGGAGGAGAGCGCGAGGCCAAGCGGAGGCTTTGAGGTGACGCGGTGCAGGGAGAAATGGATCTGCAGCATCTCGGAACTCTCAGTTTAGTCCTGTCCCATCTCCACGTTCCGATTGTGTTAGCTGATCGTCCGACTCTGCTTGGATAACCAGGATCCCGTCCCGTCCTGTCTGCCAGTCGTGCACGTGGGTCTCTGTCCCTTGCGGCCAGGGCACCTGTTAACTATTGCTGCCTCCGAGCCAGGACGTGGGTGTCCTGGGAAGAACGGGTGAGTGTGGCGGTCAGGGGAGCAGGACCTGGGTGGGAGAGTCCGGTGGTCCTCGCCGGCCGGGGATGGCTTGGTGGGAACAGCGTGGCCTGGAGAGCTGTGCCCAGAGGTGAGTGAGCACCAAAGATCTAACAGACAACCCCAACGCGCAGCCAACGGTCAGGGCCGGGTCCAGCTGCAGCCGCTGGGGGAGGCACGTCTGGGGAAAGGGGGGCACCCCGCGGCCTGGAGGAAAGGCCATCGGGGGTCCCAGGTGAGATGCAGCGGGGGCGAGCCTGGGGCGGAGGGGCGTGGAGGAGCTGGGGCCGAGCGGGCAGAGGGTAGCCGGGGGAAGCACCAGCCCCGGCCCATGAGGCCCCTGAGCGACTCGCTGTAGCCACTTTACGTCCCCCCAGGCGCTCCTCTGTGCCTTTTGGTGAACTGTCCTCAGGAGAGGTCTGCCTGCGTGCCCGGTGGGGAGCCCGGGCTTGGCCAGCTCGGGCTGGTGCTAAGTGCTGCTGGTGCCCAGCCACGCCTCAAGGGGTTCCCGTAACCCAAGGAGCTGCTCAGGCCACAGCCAGCAAGGAGTGGAGGAGGGACCCCCAGAATGTGGCCTGCAGATGTCTGTACGGTGACCCCGTTTCATTCACACGGCAGAGACTCTGCTCCTAAGCACCATCTCTAGATGGGAAAACTGAGGCTCAGAGGGATTAAGTGTGGGCTCCAGAGCTTTGGGCTAGAAAAGGGCAGCGTGGGGCTCTCGCGGAGTCTGTGCCTCCCCACCCCCAGGTCCCCCATGCACTGGCTCCGGAGACGCCCCCCACACATTGTGGAAGGACAGTGGAGATCCCACCCCTGCTCCAGAGTCAGGATCTGCAGAGCTGCCCGCTGTGGGGCTCTGGGTTGGCCCGTCCCCTGGCCCAGGGTCAGTGTGGTCCTTGGCGGGTCCTGCAGTGCCACCTGAGATCTGCACCCCACCTGCCAAGAGGCCTCTGGCTGCTGTCCCTCAGAATTCAGGGTCTCGGGGGAGGGCGCTCCGCCCCAGGACACGATGGGGACAGCACGCACTCGGGCAGCCTCTGGTGTGCTGGGTCCAGCTGGGCGGCCGTGTGGCTGGCCGAGAGCTCTGGGCCCTCGACTCCCTTCCCGGCCTGCCTCTAGGCTCCCCAGGGCGATGGGCGAATGCTGGCCCCGCAGGAAGCCCCTCTTTGCCCCTCAGTCGTCTGTGGCTCTGTTTACCCACATCTTGTGACCTCCTTGCAGCCAGCTGCCACATCAGCTCCTGTGACACCATTGTCCCCCAGAGACTGCTCTCTCACTCCAGGCCGGAGGTAGGCCGCTCCCCGTGTACGGCCAGGAGAAGTGGTTGGCTCTCCCACGGGGCGCAGGACCGAGGCCGCCTGGACCCTGCCTGTGCCCTGCTGGCTCGTCTTGGGAGCCCAACCCTGGTAGCCCCTGTTTTCCAGAGGAGGAGATGGCTACCCTGGGCCGGCTGCTCCCTGCGCTTGTCTGGGAGCCTGGGACTGCAGGCACAGAGCGCTCCAGCCCGGAGCCAGCCCCGCACTGCTCGCACCCCTGGGCCCCAGGTCCCTCGGGCCCGCCATGTCCCCTGTGGCTCCTTGCTGTGGAGACTCCTCCACCCACTGTGACCATATCCGTGTTGCCGTGGTAGGTACTTTCTGCTCAGCATCTCGAGTTCCCCCACTCCGTAAACTTCAAAGGGACCATTAAAATCCATTTTATAGAAGAAGAAACTGAGGTTCTGAGGGGTGATGGGACTTTCTCATCATCCCGCCAGCTAGTGGCCAAGGCAGCCCTTGGCGCGAGGCCCGTGGGGCTCCCCCTCCTCCAGCCACATTCCAGGCAGGCCTGCGTGGCCGGAGAGGCCCCCCTGCCTCCCCTGCCCTCCTCGGCTGCTTCGGCTGCTTCGCATCCTGCTGGATTCCTGAGGTGTCAGGCCTCATTAGAGCCCCGTGGCCGGCGGGTGTGGAGAGGGAGTTGACAGGTATACAATCCACGCGGCTCCCTTCAAGTCATCAAGCTGTCTTCAGGAGAGCGTGCCGGGAGGGAAGCCGGGCAGAGCGTGCAGCGAAGCCTAATCGGATGCACATTAGAGCCACGCTGCTCTCTGGCTTCTCTCTCCCTCCCTCCAACAGGAGCCGACTCTGCAGTCCAAGCAGGGCCACCAGGAATCCTTGACGTCTCGGTGCCGGGCCAGCATCTGAGTGCTTGTGACAGAGGACCGCAGCCTGGCGAGGCTCCCCGGGGCCAGTAGCTCTGCCTCCCTCCGCAATCCTGGGGAATCAGAGAGCAGGACTCATGACTCGGTCAGAGCTGGCCAGCAGGCGGGACACGGGGGCGGGCACCTTGTTACCTTGGGGAAGACCCTGTACCTGAGCTGCGCTGCGTGCAGACAGGGAGAAGAGCCACCTCCCCAGGCAGCTGAGAAAGCTCCATTCCAGCCTTTTCAGGGGCCCTGGCCACCAGAAGTGGTCATGTGACCAGGGCCAGCCCATGCAGTGCTCCTGCCCAGGCCTGGACTCAATCCTGGAGCAGGGGCGGGTGACCCAGGTAGCAGGGGTCTCTGCAGGGTGCCTGGGGCAGGAGGTGGCTCAGGGGAAGCTGCTGGGGACTCCATGGCACGGCGGGGGGTGGCTGCAGCTGCCAGGTCCCCTCTCGCCCTGGCCCTTTCTCACCGTGGACCTCTAGCTTTCCTGGCAGCTCTGTGCACTGCGCCTGTTCTGCTTAAAGCAGCCAAAGGCGGCGTCATAGTGTTCCTTTTTAGCTACGAGCTTCTTCTAGAAGGTTCACGATGGCTGTCGGAGCCTTACAGCAACCCCTTGAGGGAACTTGGCTCCTTAGACCTACTTTACAGACGAGGAAACCGAGGCCAGGGGAGGTCCAGGCACAAATCCCCTGGGTGTGAACCCCGTGCCTTACGTGGAAAGGGGGTTTGCAGTGGAAGGCGAGGTACGGATCCTGAGATGGTCCAGGCGGGCTCCTACCCGGGGGTCTTTATGAGGAGGCCTTCAGAGCTGGCTGAGAACAGAGGAGGGGCCAGAGCTGAGGAACGCAGGCGGCTTCCGGGGTCGCACAGCCAGGGGTGCGGATCTGCCCCCAGAGCCTCCGAAAGGACCGGCCTCTGATGCTGGACTCCTGACCTTCAGATCTGCAAGGTTAATGGTTTTCTTTTTTAAGCTGCTGCACTGGTGTGATTAGTCAGATGGGCGATGGGAAATCATACAGGCCCATAGAAGTTCACCCCCTTTGTGGTTCTCCAGGACGGCAGGCTGTCACCGTACCCCAGGGCCAAGCCGAGTGCAGCTCAGGGTTGCCGCTCGACACACCTCCGTCCAATAAAAGCACCAAGGACAAGGGATCCCTGGTCCCTGGAGTGCCCGGAAGCCAGGGAAGAGGGGGATGCAGCCCGCTGGCCCTGAGCCCAAGGAGGGGACCCAGGAGGCCCCAGGGGGTCATACAGGTGGAGCTAAGCCCGCAGCTGACCGAGGCACCCCCTTCCCCTCCCTCAAACCACAGCAGGGGAGGCCAAGAGAAGAACCTGGCGGGAGGCCCTGTTCTATCAGGACACCAGGCTCACTGCTGCCCGCTGGCCCCTCCCAGGGCAGCCAAGAAACCAGCTTCAGAAGGCTCCAGCATGGGTCAGCCCCACTGTCCCTCTAGCACCGGGGCCCGCCAACCTCCCGTGTCTGTCGCGCTGGGCTGTGCTTCCTGCTCGGGGCCACTGGCCTGCGGGCCGCTGCCCCCCCCCCACTGCTCCCCCAGGAGACAGCAGGACGCAGCAGCCGTATGTCCCTCAGCCACCTCTGCCCACCTCTGTCCTGGTTCCGGGGACTCTTCCTGGCCTCGGCCCAAATGACAAGCCTCCTTCCTGGCCCGCTGCCCCGTCCCGGTGACCTCCTGTTCCTCCTTCAGAACCAAGATGGCCACAGACAGCCGGCCCCGGAGGGTGCTGGGGGGGGCTGGTGGAGCCCAGGGAGGACCGAGTTCCGCGGAGGCTGTTAGAGGAAGGGGGAGGGGCTTCTGGGAACCCCTCCGCGACTTCAGATGATTTCCCCCAAAAGATCATAAAAAACCAAGTGAAACCAAACTGCTCCCCTGCCGAGGCGCGCTCCTGGAAGCCAGGGGCAGGCTGGGCCCGAGTCCCTGCCCGGGTCCCTGCGGGTCCAGCTCGTCCCCCCGCGGGGGCTTGGCTTCTCTGTGCGGATGATCTTTCCCTCTCGACAGAAGTCCCCCGGGCGGGGACGGTGTCTCTGTGCCCTCTGCACCTGTCACAGTGGCTGTTCCAAACCCGTCACACCCCTCCCCTGATGACAACCTTCAGTCCTCAGGGCCCCAGGAAGTTGTGCCCATGTCACCGAGGAGCAGACTCGGGCTCAGAGAGGTCAAGTGTCTTGACAAAAACCGCAGAGGTAGCAGGTGGCAGGGCGAGGGCAGGATTCAAACCGCTCCAGCCGTCCAGCTTCAGAATCCATCTCCTGAACTCTCCGCCCTGAGGAACACGTGAGGCCTGGGAGCTGAGCAGACTTTTAGCATCAGGTTAGCATCCAGCTCAGCCGCTCGCTAGCTGTGTGACCCTGGGCAAGTTATCCAACCTCTCTGAGCTTGATTTCCTCTTCTGTTGATGAAGAGAAGAACCATAAGTAATCAGGCAAAGCTCGCAAAGTGCTTAGCACAGTGCCAGACACAGGTCACCATGGCGCCCGAGGTACACGGCAACCCCGGGGAGGCCGATACAGGCGGTAGATGGTAACCATGGTAACGGTGCAGCAAATAGGATGATAACAATGCCTGCACTGAGTGAAGAATGCACCAGGAAAAGGGAACGATCATCAGTTTCTGGAAGATTCCGCACGTGGTGAACCGGGTGTTGAGGAAGAGTGGATGGAGCAGCAGAGGAGAGGCCACCAATCTGGAAGCAGAGAGGACGGGGGCGTGGGAGGAGCCCAGGTGTGAGCCTGGGGAGGGCAGGGGGGAGGGACGGGCCCCAGCCCAGGCACAGGGACGCTCGTGGCCCTTAGAGAAGGTGGGGATCCCCGCCCCCACCCACCTCCTGGACTGCTCCAAGCTGAGAAGGATCCAGAAATCGGGGCCCAGGCCCCGCGGCTCCCCTCCTCCTGCCTGGGAAGGCCTGGTGCCCGTCTGCTCCACAGTTAGCAGCCGTCCCCGTCCGCCCCGGGGGGCCTTTGTGTGGCAGCAGGAGGAAGGGCTGGTCGGTGCCAGAGGAGCCCCCAGTGCCACATGCTCCGCGTCCCCCAGCTCGCCTGCAGAGCGCAGGTGGGTGGGAGGCTGCTGAAGCCCCCGCCACCCACCGAGAGGCTCCCAGGGCTGGCACGGGGGCCAGGCACCGCCGGGAGGGGAGGGGTGCGGCTGTCAGCAGCGGGAAGCCATCCAAGGCCAGGAATAGCGCGACCACAAGACAGGGAGGCGCTGTCTGGAACCTCGTCTTCCTCCCGAGGAGGCCACACGTGGGGGGCCGAGGTGTCGGGGACTGCGGGGGGCGGGGAGGGGGCAGGGCTGCTGCCCAGGTACCAGCCTTCCCCCTTGTGCCCCTTCCTGTCAGGGCACCCTCAAGCCCATGTCCTGGATGAGACAGCACCCGCCAGACAGGGCCCAGGGCTTTATTGTGTGAGACCCAGGCCCCGAGAAATGTTGGCTGAGCCCGGATCCCTCCACAAACCACCAGAAACACAGAGACTTCAGCTTTCCCCCGGCTCTGGACCCCCGTTTCTGTTGTTTGCTTGGTAAATAAGGTGGAGGGCCAAGGTCAGGCGCGGTTCCGGGAATGGGCGCCAGGCCTCGATCTTGCACCTCGTTCCCACCTTCCACAGGCAGAAGAGCGACAGTGAGCAAGGACGTCCAGACCGACAGCAGGTTCTTGGGGACAGCAGTAAGTGACATGCAGACAACAAGCCTGGGATGGCAGCTGCCTCCGTGGGATGCTCAGGGAGGCCTCTAGGAGGAAGGGACATCTGAGCGGGTCCTTTGGTGGGGACAGGCAGCCAGGGCAGAGAGCTGTGTGGGGAGGGCCACAAGCCTGGCTGGCCTCCAGGTGCAGAGGCCCGGGAGGACCCAGGGAGGGAGGACACCGGCTGCGGGGGCTGCAGTGGGCAGGGAAGGGGCACGGATGGGCAGGTGGGCAGGCGGCCAGGTGTGCAGACCAGGCGGAGCCCTCCTGAGGGAAGGGTTCTGGACTGGATTGTGGGGGGAAGGGGGCCCTGGAACGGGGGAGACAGGGGGCGTCACCTGCCGTGTCTGTGAAGCCCATGGCAGCAGCGCAGCCTCTGGGTCCACTCGGCTCCGGCCAGACAGGAAGCCGCTGGACAAGGGCCGACGGCAGTGGACGGGGTTCTGGGAGGGAGCTAATGTGGGCTGCTGATGGGAAAGAGTGACAGGTGGCCGGAAGAGGGGGACTGGGGACTGGGACTCGGGGCTGGGTGCCCCAGGGCACACCCGCCATCCCAGCTGCGTGGGAGCATCGCAGGTTCCAGGCCAGCCTGGGCGACGTCACCCGACCCCGTCTCCATCAAAACAAGAACTGGGGGGTTGAGCACAAAAAGGCAAAGACTCTGTGTCCCCGTCAGAGTGGACGCTGTGAAGGAGTGGCCACGGGAAGGGAAGGGGGGAGGGAGGGACGTGGGATAATGGGACCCCCAAATCGAGTCCAGCAGGGGGGCTGCCGTAAGGGGACGGAAATCCTGGTCACCTTGATTCTCTGGCTCTACCCTGTATAGGTCCCAAGTGATCGCGCCAGACCCTGTAGACAGGTACCACTTTAAAAATCAAAATAAGGATTAACCCCCCTCCCCAGTAAAGAATGACTCTGTTCTGCTTTGATGCCGAGGGCAGATCCAAAGAACGCTTCTTGGTTTTGTATCAGAGATTGAACTCAGGAGCACTTGACCCCTGAGCCACACCCCAGCCCTGTTTTGTGTTTTATTTAGAGACAGGGTCTCGCTGAGTGGCTCAGCGCCTCACCATTGCTGAGGCTGGCCTTGAACTCTCCATCCTCCTGCCTCAGCCTCCTGAGCTGCTGGGATTATAGGCGTGGGCCACCGTGTCCAGCAAAAAGAGCTCTTGAGGTTGGTTTTAGGTCCATGAGTTTCTTGATAACTATGACTCATTCAGTAGATCCGCAACACTGAGGAGTCCCTTGCCTGAGTGCTCACAACGCTGTCACCTCTCCTTAAGGCTTTGTCCCCGTTGATACAAAAATCTGATGGCCAAATGACTGGTTTAGGTTGAAATGAAGTCTTGCTTCTCATCAGCCGGCCGATGCTCTCTGCTTGAACGTCCTGTTCAGCTTTGACCCACGGGAGAAACAGGAGCATCCCGGGGAACCTGATTCATTGTCCGACACAACTGCATCCGGCCTTCATTTTAGGAACACAGACTAAAGGAATGCTGTGGAGAGCAGAGAAACTTGTGGAATTACGCGGCTACCGTTCACTTGTCTGCCGTCACATGGGAAATCCTGTGGCCTTTATTTCCCCGATGGCAGGAGTTGTAAGGGCCCTGGGCCTTCCTGGCCTGCGGTGGTCTCTGCCAGGGTTCCCAGGGCAGGTCTCCACGGAGCCCCCGGGTGAGGAGCAGGCTGGGGACGGCCTCGGCCCCACCCCTCACTTCCCCAGAGCTGCTCCACTTTTATCTGCTTTGGGTTTTGAGGCTCTGGGCTAGCCTTCCTCGTAATAATAGATCCTGTCACTCAAAACCATTTTTAGACTCCTGATGGCTCCATGGTCTAGGTCACCGTCTTTGAAGGGGACAGTCACGGGCTCTGGGCATTATTGCCTGAGACGCTCTGAAAACTACAGGCTCCTGTGTCCCACCCACAATTCCACTGCCCCAGATACTTTGGAATCTGTAGTTTTCCCATATAAACCCCAAGTTGTGCCCTTCGAACTGAACATTAAAATTTGAAAATCATGGTTTGGTTCCAGAGCTCGATTATTTGTCTCGCCTGAAGGGGAACATTTTAGGGGGCATCTTGGATCAATGGTGAGTAAATCAATCTCTGTTTATTTATTTTTTTAATTGTCACTGGGGATTGAATCCAGAGGGCCCTGGGCCACGTCCCCAGTCCTTTCTTGTATGTTTTATTTTGAGACAGGGTCCTGCTAAATTGCTCAGGTCCTTGCTGAGTGGCTGAGGCTGGCCTCCAACTTGGGATCCTCCTGCCTCAGCCTTCTGAGGTGCTGGAATTACAGGTGTGCGCCACTGTGACTGGCTTGGTCTTGGTACTTTTGACGTGGGTTTGAAACAGGGTAACTGTGGATTTGGGACTCCCTGAAGCAGTTTGTGGTAATGCCTGCGGGGTTCATGTCTATTATCTCATGTACTCATAAAATCATATTAAATAAGAGTTTTAGGACTGGGGATGTAGCTCGGTTGGTAGAGTGCTTGCCCGGAATGCCCAAGGCCCTGGGTTCAATCCCCAGCACCACCAAAAAGAAAAAAAAGTTTTAGAGCTTTGAACTGAAGCTTGAGCAGGGGGTGGAGGCTGGTGTCCAATTGCTGCTGGGGGTGAAGGTCACAGCTGGGCCTTGCCCATCAGGGAGCTGGACGTCCAGGGGTGGATCAGGCTTGAATTTTCAGAGGGCTCAGGAGGTGGTGTGGGGTGCAGGGAGCTGCTGTGGGGTGCAGGGAGGCAGGGGGTTATCAACTCTCCTCACGACACAGCGGCTCCTCTTATGGTTTGGATCTTAAACATCCCCAGAGGTCGTGGGTCAAAGGCTTCGTGCCCAGCCTCTGGTGCCAGAGGGCGCAGCCGATGGAAGGGAGTTAGGTCACGGGTGAGCCTGGAAGGGGTCTGGGGACCCCAGCCTCTTCTTTCTGTCTGCTTCACGGCCTCCGTGAGATGAGCAGCCTCCTTGGCCATACCCTTCTGCTGCCAGGTGCTGCCTCATCATGGGCCCAAAGTCCCTGGGCCAAGTGACCATGGACTAAACCTCAAACTGGGAGCCAGAAGAAATCTTTTCTCTTCATACATTGATTATCTCAGGTATTTTGTCACAGCAATGGAAAACTAACACAGCTGCCTTTATCTGCTTTGTATTATATTAGGGCCCTACGGAAGACGTCAACCCCAAAATGTTTTTCACTGATTCAGAAGAAAATGAGAAAACCGTTTAGCCTGGTGGCTGGCAGTACAGTCATCGCTGTTTCAAAGTCCCTTCCACAGCTCACGGGTTGGGATTGGCACCAGTGGCTATAAGCAAAGGGGATCCTCTGATTCAGTTTCAAGATGGCCAGCTTGAGCATCACAGAACCTTCTAGAAGGTTCTAGAAGGTTTTCTGGCCTGAGGCTGGAGGCGCCTCTCATACCTGGGACAACGTGGAACACAATGGACCTGTGGGCTTCCTTGGGGGGGGGGGGACTTTGTCATCTTGCAGTTTTGTGTTACAGAAAGTTTCAAAAGGACACAAAAGTAGCAAGGATGTTACCGGCCGCCCATGGGCCCTCCGGGTCCGGCTTCTTGTCCATCTTTGCTGCGTCTGCGGCTCCTGTCCCTTGGTCCCCCTCCCCCTCCACGCACGCCCCCAACCATTTTTAAACAAATCCTGGGTGTATTTAGTCCTTGGGCTTCTCCCGCTTCCCTGAATGTCTCCAGAAACAGCTCCGTGAACGTCACACTGTCCTCCATCTCAGAAGGTCAGCAACGATCCTTTGGTTTTTATAAAATACTCGGTTCAGGTCGAATTTTTCCAGTTGTCTCAAAAATGTTCTTTTATGCTGTTTTATCTAAATCCGGGTCCCAACAAGGTGACGTGTTCCTTAGGGCTGTTTTGTCTCTTAAGTCTTCTCACCTTGAACTGTTCTCCCTTTTTTTTTTCCTTTAATAACATCGTGCTGTGCTCTGAACGCCTGTGTCCCCACCCCCAGGTGACGGCGTCAGGAGGCAGGCCTCAGAGAGGTGGTCAGGTCACGAGGAAGGAGCCCTCGAGAATGGGATTAGTGCCCTTCTACATGAAGGCCAAGAGACCCCTCACCTCCTCCACCGTGCAAGGACACAGTGAGGGGACAGCCGTCGTGAACCAGGATGTGGGTCCTCACCAGACGTCAAATCAGCCGGTGCCTACTTATCAAACTTCCGGAACTGTGAGCGATAACTTTGTGAGCTACCCAGCCTCTGGTATTTTGTTATAGTCCAAGCAAGCCAGACGGACACTTGTGGATGAGGACAGCCGGCCACCCCACAGGAGGCCACCTCCCTTCTGCCTGGGGATTTGCTTCCTCTTGACATCAGTTCTCCTCAAACCTGCATTTCCCGTCATCTAGAAGCTGACTGTGAAGAGTTGATCAGATGCTGTGCCAAGGCTCTTGGCAAGAAAAGTTCCCAGAGGCTGATGAGTTCCTCTGACTCTATCATGTCACGTTGGATTTCTATTGTTTTAAAGCAAAACAATGGAGTAAGAGAGGAAGAAAACCTAGCCCCATTCAGGGAAGAGGAGCTTGGTCAGATTCCAGTTGGTCTGGAATTTATTATCCATTACTGTAGTTCCAGAAACCCGACCAGTTGGAGACCCCCTTGGGGTGAATATATCCTCCTTTACAAAAGGCAAAGACTTCTCGGAACCTTGGGACTCTGGCAACCACTCACACCTTAGTGTGAACAAGCCCCATCACCTCCTTTTCTTCCTAGGTACCTAATTAAAATGAGCGTAACTGAGGAGAGGTCCTGGTGGTCCTCTGTGGCGTGCCACAAGGAAGACAATACCAGGCAGCATGAGAGCCCGGGGTACTGGAGAATGGGCCTGGGTGGTGACCGGCTTGGGTGATGCAAGAAAGACCAGATCACGTGGGGTCGGCAGCAGGAAGAAGAACCGTAGATGGCGGCTGGGAGTGGGGCCAGTCACAGTGATGGGCTCTCAGGGCAGAAGAGAGTCCCAGACCCCCCTAGGGAGGCCTTCCCTGAGAACAATAAAACACAAATAGGGCTGGGGATGGGGCTCAGTGGGTAAGTACACAACTTGAGCGTTCGCTGCACACTTGGAAATAAGGCAAAGGAAACATGAGCCTCTGATCAAACCACCTGCGGAAGTCCCTGAAATTTGATCTTGGCGTGGTTAGCTAAGGACAGCGAAGGGGACATCCTTGTCCCTCTCCTTCCTTCTTCCCGCCACAGAACCCTCCCAGCAGTGCTAGAGCTCATCTATGGGCGGGTCCTCTGTGGGCCAGCCTGCTGCCCGTGGACAAGGACAGAGGACCACCAGGGCGCTGTGTCCTCCTACACCTGCCTTTATTTGTTTCCCATCTGTTGAGATTTCTTGTAGGAAATAACCCCAAGAATGTTTTCCGTGGCTTTTAAGAGTCAGAGCACCCCTGGGCCCGGGGAGGGAGGCCACAACCACGGGTTCTTTGAGCAGTTCGCCATTCAAGGGAGCCGTGGTCAAATGGTCGGGACATTCTGCTGGCTCCAGCCCCTTCTTGGAGGTGAAGAAGGTCCTCGAGCCTTTGAGATGCTCTGAGAAGTCCTGCGGACAGCACCTGCTCGGATACGTTGGACTCCCTGATTCCCAAAATGGCTCCACCATAAACCTTTTTGCCTATTAAGTACAATTAACACCCTGAAGAACCAAGGTTCCGAGGACCCAGACTGTGAACCCTAGACAGGAGCGCCGGCCCCTTCCAGCCCTGCTGGTACTGGAACCACACGGGAAACGCTGAGGGACAGGGTGAGGCCCCCAGGCCGGAGGACTGCAATCACGGAGCAGGTGACTTTTCTACAGGGGCTCCCAGACACTCAACCTGCTGTGGAAGGTGTGAATTGGGCTGGATTTTTTTATTTTTTATTTTTGTACCAGGGATTGAACCCAGAGGTGCTTACCCACTGAGCCCCATCCCCAGCCCTATTTGTGTTTTATTGAGAGACAGGGTCTCTCTGAGTTGCTTAGCGCCTCCCTTTTGCTGAGGCTGGCTTTGAACTCTCAATCCTCCTGCCTCAGCCTCCTGAGCTGCTGGGATGACAGGTGTGCGCCACCACACACTGCCCGATTTTCTTACATCGCATTAGCAACACGTGTCTAAAATCCTAAAACGGTGTGCATCCTTTGCCCTGGCTATTTGCCCAGTGCTATTTCTAAACTTTATCTGAAGGAAACTGTGACACAGATACCCAGAAAGAATGGACAGACACCTTCCTCATTATCCTGAAAAATGAAAACCATCCTAGTTTCATTATCCTGAAAACTGAAAACCATCTTAGTCTGAAAAAAAATGGGGGGCGCCCCTGCCGTGGGAGTGAGTGTCCATTAACTACAACACGGTATAGCGAGGGAGACTGGGGATGCAGGCTGGGCAGGAAGCGGGCCACACAATAGGACCTGGAGCTTTGGAAGTCCAGTCGATGCCATTGTTATTCCAATAAGACCTCTGTTAGGGCTCCCCAGAGGGGTCAGGCCGAATGACCGCTTTGCAACTTTTAATTCAATTGCAAGTTGATACTTTTGTGAAACATAATAAAAATGTGGAGGCCAGGTCAAATTGCTACAGAACCCTCTAGTGTTGCTGGGCTTGGTGGTGCCGGCCTGGGATCCCAGTGACGCAGGAGGATCCTGAGTTCAAAGCCAGCCTCAGCAACTCAGTGAGGCCCTGACGCTAAATAAAACATAAAAAGGGCTGGGCGTGTGGCCCAGTGGTTAGCTCCCCTGGCTGGATCCCCCTGGGTGAGGGGAGAAGTCTCTAAGCGCTGCCTCTCGTCCTCTGTACCTACCTCTCACCTCAGCTGGGCTGGCCACTGTGGCTCCTTATTTGTCTGTGTTTCTGCGGGGAGGCCACGTGGTACCTGGAGGAGCTCACTCCTGTAGCTTTTCTCACCTGCGTTTCAACTTCTCCACAGCACAGTCACATCTCTTGGGTCAGAGGGAGCTGCCTGCTGGTGTCCTCGGTGACCAAGGCACGTTCTGTGTGCAGCCAGGACCCCCGTCT